GCCACAGTAGGGCATCAGCTGATTCAGCCTTTTCTGTTTCAGCAAATCAAGACGGAATTAAGAATTTCTACAGAATGTGTGTCCCTAGAACTGCAACTTATAAAATATAATAAAATATAAATATAAAATATATATAATATTTAAAATCACAGTACTAAATGAAGTAACTTAAGTAGAGAGTAGTTGTATATACGACTGAGCTCTGGGGAATCGCAGCATTTAGAGGTTGAAACAAGAAGATACCAGCAGACAAGACTGAGGAGGAATCTCTGTGGCAGGCGAAAAGAAGGAGAAAGGGGTTTTTTGCAAGCCACAAGAATAAAGTATGTCAGAAGGGAAGGAATGATCAGCCCCCAGAGAAGTTAAGCATGATAAAAAACAGTGCAGCCAATGGATGTGGCAAACTGGAGGTCATCAATGTACCTGTCAGCGGCAATTTCAGCAAGTAGAGGGGAATGGAAGCCTGGTTAGAACAGCTGAGGAGGAGAATGGAGATGCTGTTTCTAATTTCTCACCTATTAACCACTCAATCCAGAGTTGTTATTGCAAAGGAAAATAGTAAAATGGGACGATAAGTGGAAGTCACTCGGCATCAAGGAAGGTATTTCCAAGAGACTCGATCATAACGTACTTCATACAAGAGAGACAGAAAGAGAAGGTGTAGGAGAAGGAAGGAACACCTAGCTGAGAGAAATCCATGAGAAGATGAGAGCAGATGAGGTCCAGAGCCCCTGGAGAAGAGCTGACTGGGGTAGGTGCAGGGGCTTTTCATCTAGTATAACTGGAGGCAAGGCCATGAGTATGGATATAGAAACAGGGAGGTTGGTAGACTTAGTGGTAGATGGTTCTCTTGTCTTCGTGAAGTAAGGAGGTTCAGTCATCAACTGAGAGAAAGTGGGAGGGAACGTGGAAGAAACCTGAAGGCCGTGGGAAAGTGTGCAGTGCTCCTCTTGGAGAAGGCATCTCGCTATGGCTTGGCACACGGGTGCTGGCTTGAGATGTGGGGCCATGAGTTTGAATGAGAAGTCAATATTACTATGACTGTTTCTAGGAAAATTCAGGAGCTTGGGTGTAGGTGAGAGGAATGGGGTTGTTGGGTTTAACCAATACTGGGGTTTTAATAGGTGAGAACAATTGAAGGGGGTAAGAGAATTAAAGATTTGTAAAGGAATGTTAACAACGGCTGGGGAAGGGAACTGAGGAAATGAGTGAGAGTTGTGATGTATGAATGCGAAGTGACAGAATCAATATTTGGTGGCCTCAGGGTGCTGCATGTGCCAGCTTGGGAAGTGGATTGGATAGAAGGTGAGGTTGGTCAGCGGGCGGGCTATTGTAACAGCAAAGGGACAGTTAGGACATAGGAGTAAGGAAACAACTGGGGTCCACAGACGGAAAGATAACTGGAGGTAATTTGGGGAAGTGAGTGCTAAGGGATTCAATGAAACATCCACAAAGACATTGTCCTCATCAGGAATGATGAATAACAAGAGAGAGAAGGAACTCATTGATGACCTGCTGATGATATGGAAGTTGTAAGAGTCCTCCATGTATATCTTAACCAAAGAATTTGGTCAAAAATGCTAAGTGTTGCGCTTTTCCAGTGCCTTTTCGTTCATAGATAAGCTTCTAAGAGGTTCATAGTTTAAAATCGGATTGACATCTTTGGCTGTGGACAATGCCTGGATGGTATTTCTGAAGATGACTATACATCAGAAGGTCCTAGAGGTCTCTGCTTGTTTTTGGACAGACACCTAGGCCCGGCCACAGAGAGTCCAACTGCCTCAGGACTGAACTAGGTCAGAGAACCCAGGTTGTTTACAGCCCTGCCAGGTGATTCTGAATGTAACCACGGAGTTAAACCATAGTATAGGTCACCGTAAATGAAAGAAACGGCTTAGAATAAGTTCTCTCATACTAAGTATTATTTGACCAGGCTAAAGAGATAAGGAAGTGCTGCTAAATTTCGAAACTAGAAAATATCAACTTGTTCTATCACGAATTTTAATATAGTACACAGGGTTTATTTTCATTCTTCTGGTATGTGAATAAACAACGTTAGCACACTGTAGTTTACCCCATAGTGACTTAGAAGTTACCTCATCACATTTTGGGGAAGCTATGTACTCAGAATTTGTGTTGATACACTTTATTTTTATGTTAAAGTCCACTTTTTAAATATTTGTCTTATATTTTCCTCTTATTCCTTCTCCGAATTTAGTAGTAAGCATGCCCCTTTACCACCGTAAACCTTTTGGCATAGTTCCTTATGAATTTTCTTACCCTCTCCATCCCAGAAAGAACTAGATCTCATTTATATTTCCTATATTCTAGCACAGTGGCTTATCAAAGTAGCAAGTATTCGATGAATGAATGAATCTAAGACTGAAGTAAGAAGTATCACATGAGCTAATCTATTACCTCTCTGATCTCTGTATTATTCTTTAAGCTTCAAGGTAGTTTCTGGGAAAGGGAGTGGATATAACGAGATGTGGCTTCGATACTTAAGAAAAATGATGTTCTAGGATTTCATAGAAAGTTCGCGACGTGTCAAACCCACAGCAAGTCATTTTTCTCACCAAGCCCTCATAAATTCAGGCAAAGAAATCATTATACTAATCTTGCCATACCCAAGTGTCTTCCCTCCCGGCAGAGCTCCATGGGGCCTCCTTTTTGCTGATGCTCACTGGGGCCGGTCTGGAAGAAGGAGCAAGAGCCTAATACCCGGTTTCCATCAAGCTTTGGATTGCACAGTATTTGATGGCACATCATTACTGCTCTGGTATATCCCATTAGGATTAGCCTTCTTGAATGCACTAGAAATTCTCCTGGTATCATTTAGTCATTCATTTACTGCCTACCAAGCACTGTGCACCTATGTAATGGAATATGACATTAACCTAGAAACATCAGGAGTTTACGATCCAGTTGGGAAAACATAGAGACAAGCATGATAAATGTTCTGCTGGAAGAAGTATACCACGCAGAGCACAGAGGAGGGGGAAATGACTCAGAACTGGAAATTCAGGGCGCCTGGGTGGCTCAGTTGGTTAAGCGACTGCCTTCGGCTCAGGTCATGATCCTGGAGTCCCGGGATCAAGTCCCGCATCGGGCTCCCTGCTCAGCAGGGAGTCTGCTTCTCCCTCTGACCCTCCTCCCTCTCGTGCTGTCTCTCATTCTCTCTGTCTCAAATAAATAAATAAAATCTTTAAAAAAAAAAAAAAAAGAACTGGAAATTCAGAGAAGGCTTCCTGCAGGAAGTGGCATTGGAGCTTTGAGTCGAGGGATGAATTTGCTTTTTCTGAGCCCGTGGTGAGAGAGCTCTGATTCAGGCAAAGCAAAAGCAGAAGGTGGGGGATGCAGGGAGCATGTGGGGGACCCCAGGTGTTTGTGTGTGGCTGGAGCACAGGAGCCAGATGATGAAAGGGACTTTATTTCATATGAGTGAGTTTGGACTGCCTAATTCTGGAAACAATGGAATCCACCAAAGGATTTGGGGAGGAGTTTGCCCTACGGAGAGAGAGTTCAGCCATAGAAACAGGCAGTTTGAAACCCCCCGACACTCTCTTTTAGTCAGTTGTACCCTGCACCAGAGAAAAATGTGCCACACATACAGATGTTCACTTATGAAGCCAGAATTCATGTTAGGAACCTCACAAGCAAAATAAGAAAATATGCAAAGTTCATGAGACTGTCCATGCACCTGCACGTTGGTGTGGCATATACTTCGTGCTGCTTGTAGGTAAGGGGCTTGTTATTCGTTAATATTTTCAAGAAAAGGGGATCCTGACATGCTTGGTCTGTCAAAGACTAAGGTCACCTTATTCTGGTGACATAAAAGCCACTTGACTAGGCTGAAAATGCGTCCCCAAAACCTATTGCAGAATTTTATCTTTAATGGCTTTTGTGAATTTAGGCTGAAGGACTTCAATGGTGCATTAGGGAAGGGCAGTAAAACCCTGGGAACGCCAGAGCAAGGGCCCTTAAAAACGACAATGCTGTTCTCTGCTTGAGGAGAGCTGCTCACGCTAATACTCGTGTCATGAGGACTCTGAAAATGCTGCAGGCCACTCCTCTAAGTATTTAACATCAAACTACCCCCTTCACCGGAAGAAGGTGAGTTTTGTTCTCTCCTATGGATTTAAGGATCTCACTAGTGTCTGCAAGACGAGCCCCACTCCTTTAACTACCCCAGCAATAATATTTATTAACTAGAGGAATTCGAGCTTCATCCTTAAAAAGATTCTAATTTCTTCAAGTTTAAAATATAACCATATTATGTATCATTTTTCCCTTGTTTTGTAGAGTCTTGAAGTTCAGTCCAGTGACACAGATAAAAATGATAACGAGTACTACTACCTTATGGCAATTTAATTGCCCCTGTGACCCTAGGAGCTATACTTACATGTTTACAGGTCATATGCTACTTAAGAATTTAAGGATGTGAGCTTTCGAAGGGGAAAAAATAAAACAAGACGAAACCAGAGAGGGAGACAAACCATAAGAGACTCTTAATCTCAGGAAACAAACTGAGGGTTGCTGGAGTGGAGGGGGGTGGGAGGGATGGGGTGGCTGGGTGATGGACATTGGGGAAGGTATGTGTTGTGGTGAGCGCTGGGTGTTGGGTAAGACTGATGAATCACAGACCTGTACCCCTGAAAAAAATAATACATTATATGTTAATTAAAAAAAAAAAAAGAACGTGAGCTTTCGAATGAGAGAGACTCAAGCTCAAAGCCCAGTTCTTCCTTTTACTAACTCTGTGACTTGAGTTAAGTTGCTTAACCTCTTTAAGCCCCTGTTTTCTGATCTAGAATTTGGGGGTCTTCATGGTAACCGAGTTAGAGATTCACCATGGTAACTGGATGAGATTGTGAATGATGACAGGCTAGCTCATTGTTCCAACCCTACTTGGAACTCTTGTGTATTTTCACTTTTACCCTTTAGTTCTGGTTTGTTTGTTTGATTATGAGCAACTTTCTCTTTTCCTTTTACTTCCCTAGGGATATGAAACCTGACAATATTTTGCTTGATGAACATGGTAAGTAAATGATTTGTTTGCAATCAACATGACTTGCACACAGAAAAATCAGAGGGGGAGATGAACCATGAGAGACTATGGACTCTGAGAAACAAACTGAGGGTTCTAGAGGGAAGGGGGTGGGGGGATGGGTTAACCTGGTGATGGGTATTAAAGAGGGCACATACTGAATGGAGTACTGGGTGTTATACGCAAACAATGAATCATGGAACACTACATCAAAAACTAATGGGTGTAATGTATGGTGATTAAAATGACATAATAAAAAAAAGAAAGAAAAACATTTAGTACTAGCAACTGGTTGATTGCTACAGCAAAAGTAATTGGTATAAATGTCATACATTTGCATTAACTGCAATCACATATAAAAATGGAGATTTAAAATAAAATTTAAAATAATAAAAGAGTAAAAAAAAACCTGAAAAAAAGAATTAAAGTTAAATAAATCAAAATAGATGTATATGGAAAAAATAGGAGGAAGAATGAAAATAAAGGAAAATAAATAAAAATAAATTTCTACATTTAAAAAAAAAAAAAGAAAAAGCATGTCGGACAAAAACGATTACCCCAGCAAAGGAGGATTACACACGGAAAAGGCCCTGCTTGATTCAGTTGAGGTCTATGCACAAACTTGATTTGATGTGTAGGAGGGACAAGATGGGTGAACTTCATTATTCTAGCAGTGGCAAGGTACCCTGGGATACCCTTAAATAACATTATATTTAAATAATGAAAAAGTCACTCCCTTTTCAACTTTGTTAACACTTCTACTGATTTCTTTCAAGAAAACCATCACAGTTTTTTTGGTGCTAATTTGCCTTAATATCTTTCTAAAAATCATCTCTTTTTTAATAAAGCAGAAAAGGCCTCAAGCTCAGAGCATGTGGCAGGCAAGAGTATCTACCAAATGATTAGTGACACCATTTTGTCCTCATTGCATCTACTTTTATGCTTTTCTTCTTATGAGGGAAAATTGGTTTCACATTTGCAGAAGATATACCAAGTTTTCAGTTCGAAGATTTTTCAGTTTAAGAAAGCTCATCAATTTAAAGAAAAAGAGAAAGTGGACAACAGTGTATGAGGCATCTAGATGGGAAAGTGATACGGGGATTTGGCAGTAACCATGAAGGTGATCAGTGAAAGCTGGAAACCCAAGAAACACAGATTAAGGATATCCTGAGAGCAAGCTTTCACCAATAATGATTAATATGTATCGTTTCTTCCCACTGTTCCTTTTAATGTATGTTTGGGTATACTGGTCCATCAGGGCAGACCCGTAGGACACACATCCTGCAGGTTATAAATGTTACAGTGGCACTAAGATCTTTCTGATGTGCTCAGGAAGCTGTTGGGTGAGGGAGTCCTAAGTATGCAAGGCTCCTTATTCATTTGACTTTTACAAAAGGGATTGGCAGTGGGTCTGCAACTCCAAGTACCATCCATTGCTCATTACTTATTTACCTTGCTGCATTTTCAACCTGATTTGCCAGACCTCACCTGTGCTCAGAGGGCTAAGAAACACTTTTGTGTATGACCTCTAATTTTGAAGCTTAGGGTCATTATTTATTTATGGACTGTCTACAAAGATTATTTCCACTTTCTTCCAGTGCCTAATTTCTTCCTTCCCTTTACTGCTTCTGACATTCGGGAACAGATTCTCGGACTCTCCAAAATGTGAGCAAGAGTGAGCCTTGGCGTGAAGGTGACATTCATGAGAACACTGGCTGTCCATGCCTTAGAGAGGAGGCAGGAGCCTCTCTGACCCTGGTGCAGATAAACTCTGTGGGGCCTCACGTTGTGGGGAGGGCCTCCCCACCCCCGTAGAGGCCGCCTCTGCACAATTCAGAAAAAGGTTCTCTGTCTCCCCACCCTGGCCTTATGAAGGTGCCTGGCTGGTCAGGCAAAACACAATCTGGGGTTCTGTCCCCACCTACTCCCTTTTCTGGTTGCCTTTGTGTACAATATATTGCTCTACCACTTGTTGAGGCCCCGAATGGAGACATTTGGGTCCTGTTGACCACAACCTTTTCAAGATTTACCTTCCATTCAGAGAACAACATTTTCATCTTGGCCCTCAAACATGGCTTCATCTTATTTCCACCATAAGGCCATCCGATCCTCTCTCATTCAATTTCTTTCCCCTTCTTATTTTCTGGTCAACTTGGTGATTGTAGATTAGGAGAATGGTCCAAAAATAACTTAATCTTCAAGTTTACCTGCCCTTAGAAACCACCCTCGTGAAAGAATAATTGTGTAATATTATAGTTAAAAGCATGGATTCTGGAGCCCAACTGCCTGAGTGGAAGACCCAGTTCACCCCCTCACCAATCACTAGCTTTGAGAGTTTCCACAGACTGTCTAAACTTTCTCTGAGTCTCAGTTTTTTGACGAATCAAAGGAGTAATTAATTCTTAGAGTCACTGTAAAAATGAACTAGCATACTATTTATAAAGTGCTGATTGCAGTGTCTGCCACAAGGAAATCACTCAGAAGATAAATATTAGTATAATTCCATGAGGTATGACTTTCTCCCCTAAAGAAGCAAGCTAAGGCTTCCACATCTTGTTTTATGTGGCTCTGTGTATAGCAGGTGGTCAGTGAAAGCTGGGCCCTTACCCGTCTTTCTACAGAATTATTTCGGTTCCAGAAGGGATATGCCAAAGCTTCTGTGTGTCTACTTGTTAGCTCTTATGTTTATGCAGTTTTGTTTGGCACTAATTCTCAGGCAGCTACGCCTTCAGTGGTCTGTTCTGCTTTTCCATCCTGGGCGCAGGGGGCTAAGCCTAGTTTGGGGGGCATTTTACTCTTGCTAAGGCTGGGGCTCTGTTGTTCAGGGCGTATGAGCGGCCATCCCAGTTGGCCGGAGGGATCGTCCCAGTCTACACCTGTTACCTGGTGAACTATTTACAATGACGCTTTCACTATTAAGGTTTTGGGTTTCAACAATGAATTAATAGGACTTTTTTGTATTATTTTCTCATCCTGAACTCGAGAATCACCGCTGTTAATAAGAGAAACATTGTTTTGGAAAGGAACAGATCTGTGAAGGGGATAGAAGCAAACAAACAAGAGAGCTATTCTCTAAACATTGTCCTGGGGATCCCCTTCTGAAGAACAAAAATTTTTAAGGTTATTTACTCTCTGTTTATGCAGGTTCTGAGAAACTAAGGCTTTCTGGCATTGCTCAGGGACTGTAATTAACCACTCTTAAATGAATACATCCCTGATACCCCCCAGCCCTGAGCACATTCTGTAGAGTTACTCCTGTGAGAATCAGCTGCTTCACAAATCAATGGGGGCATTTTCGAGTGTCTGCTGGTGTGATTTTCCATGTCTCCAGTTAGAAACCCTCATTTGTCCTCTCCATCCACATTTATAGTGTTTCTCCCCTGATGGGCCATCACACGCACCTTTTGCACGGGGATTTTAGCAACTGTGAAGGATAATTGCCTATCTCTGACATGCCTCCTACGCCTGTTCCCCCAAGTGAGCTGTGTATCACACCACGTTGCTTACATTCTAATTCAGCGCCATCCGGCAACAGGCAGAAACTTGGTTTTATTCTTACTGATTCATATTCATTCATATTCATCAGAAAAGACTGATACTTAAAGGAGCTGAAGCCCTTTGTAAAATGGAGAATCTTCCCACCGTGTCAATGAACATTCAGAATGGGAGTGAAAAAATGTTTTTAATTTAGAGCATACCTGTTACTGTTCTCCTCAAACGTCTCATTCACTAGCTCAGAACCCAGACTGACATTAGATCTCAGATGGCTCATCATCAATCATCCTGATAAATATTTTCATATCCTACCAACTTAAGTATCCCATCCAATTCTATCAATTCCATAGTGTCTAAGTTTTTGTGGTTGTCTTAAATTATTCAGGAAATAAATGCTGCATCCAGAGGAACAATAATGTCTGCCTGGCATATCTGAGGAAATGACAATTATGGGATCATCTATAATTTAGTTTCCTTAATATCATCCCTAGTTCCAGGGAACGGAGAAAGGCAAATACTCAGTCTGGGGGTTAGGAGGAAGCACTAAGCATGCTATCTGAACAGCTTCTTCCTTGCCGGGTCCCAACACAGGACTAAAGATCTAGTGGGAAGCATCTTTTTTAAGAAAAAAAATTACCTAGGGGCGCCTAGGTGGTGCAGTCGGTTAAGCGTCTGACTCTTGGTTTCAGCTCAGGTCGTGATCTCAGGGTCATAGGATCCAGCCCCATGTTGGGCTCCGTGCTCAGCATGGAGTCTGCTTAAGACTCTCCCTGTGCCCTCTTTCTTTCTCTCGCTCTCTCTCCCTCTCTAAAAATAAATAAATCTTGGGGCGCCTGGGTGGCTCAGTCGTTAAGTGTCTGCCTTCGGCTCAGGTCATGGTCCCAGGGTCCTGGGATCGAGCCCCGCATTGGGCTCCCTGCTCCGCGGGAAGCCTGCTTCTCCCTCTCCCACTCCCCCTGCTTGTGTTCCCTCTCTCGCTGTGTCTCTCTCTGTCAAATAAATAAATAAAATCTTTAAAAAAAAAAAAATAAAATAAATAAATAAAAATAAATAAATCTTTAAAAAAAATCGATCTATCCCTAAATACCTATATCTATATATCTATCTATAGGCATCGGTAGATACATAGATAATAAATATATGAAGAGCGAGAAAGAGAGAGAATAGCAGTACCCTATTCCCAATAACCATATTCACTAAGTCTCAGCTAGTGCCTAAGGATATGCATTTTTTTTTTTTAAGATTTTGTTTATTTGACAGAGAGAGACACAGCGAGAGAGGGAACACAAGTAGGGGGGAGTGGGAGAGGGAGAAACAGGCTCTCCACTGAGCAGGGAGCCCGATGCGGGACTCAGTCCCAGGACCCTGGGATCATGACCTGAGCAGACGCTTAACGACTGAGCCACCCAGGTGACCCAGGATATGCATTTTTAACAAGAATCCCAGAGATGTGGCACCCAGACTCTCAACATTTTGGGGTAGTGGGAATGTTTGAAAGCTGGGGGCAACCCCTGCTGACTGGTTATGGCAGCCAGAGGAGTGCTGTGGTGGTCAAGATGCTCAGGCAGAAACAGAGTGAGAAAAAGGTAGAAGTAATGACAATAATGATAGTTGAATTAAATGACTCAGTGCTATCAATTCAAATTTTTAGTGTGCTTCTGTGTCTCAAGGTACAGAGGTGAAAAGAAAAGGCAAAAATGCTTTTCTAGGGTACCAAATCAGGGACTTTCTGAGCCTTGTATCCGAAAAACTCCACACTGAGGCAGTGGTTCTAACTGGGGATGGTTTTGCTCTACATCCTGTCTCCATGGGGGACATCTGGCAGTGTCTAGAGACATTTTCATGGTCAGGATTCCAGCCAGGAGTGAGCAGTGCTATTGGCCTCTAGTGGGTGGAGGCAGCAGATCCTGGCCTTCAGACAGTTTCTCCCCATCCATACTGTGCCCCCTGGCGGGAGACAAACTCTAAGCCAACCGGGAAGGGATTGTTTCAGTTTATCCATCTCTTTGGATAAAGCACAAAAAGTTTGGGGAAATTCGTAACTCAGTAAAGGAGTCCTGCACCAAATTCTCAATTCTGATCCCAACTCTGCTACTTCTGAGCCCTGTGAAATTAACCACAAACAACTTTTCTATTAAATAGGGACTATTTCGCTAGGCTAAACTGTTGGAAAATGGCAGTTCATCAAATACATGTAAACACTACTGAAAGATAAAATTCAGCATTCTATCAACAAATTCAAAAGATATATGATGAGTACTTACTGGGTTGGGATCTTCTACCAAGCCGGTCTTATTTTAAGAGTGGTCTCAAACTTTATTGGGCGTCAGAATCACCTGGGAGGCTTGTTTAAGTACAAGGGTCCCACCCTCAGTTTCTAATTCAATAGGCTGGGGGTAGTGCTCAGGAATTTGCATTTCTAACAGGCTCCCAGGTGGTGCTGGTGCTGCTGGTCCACGGACCACACCTTCAGCACCACGGGGCTCGAAAACATCCTCTACCTTTTATTTCTACAAGAGCATGGATAATCTCAGGATTGAGTTGGCTCCGGACATCCGCTCAGACTAAAGTAGAGGGTCCCATGCCTGCCTGCTCATCTGCATCACCTGTGGAGTTTCTGGTTGTTTCTAACAAGGATGCCTGGCTCTCCTACGGTCCCAGTGCTAGCCGAGTCTCAGCAGAGTCAAGTCCAGGCATGTGTGTTCGGGGTGTGTGGGGTTTCTGATCATGAGAAGGAGCAACAGTTGAACCCTTTCTTCCTTCCAAATGCGAAGTTCTTCCACGGTATTATTTTATTTGATCTTCCCAATAAACTCACAAGAAAATTCCTGTTGCCATCCCAACTGTACAGAGGTGTCACCTTTAAAGGTAACACAGTGAGTTAGTGGTCACACTTGGACTTGAAGGCAGGCAGTCTGACTCCAGAGAACAAGCTCTTCTTAACTACAGTGTCTCCAGGCTGACCTAATTTGTATCAGTGAGCCACTTGAGCATGACTCAGGGGGAGAAAGAAAGGAAAAACGGAGACAACCTATACTGTGATAGAAGAGTTACCAGAATTATCTGTTGGTACCATTCAGGCAAGAATATCTTCACTTTCAACCCGACGAGTGCTACCCTTACTTTATTAAAATGTCATCACATCAGCGACACAAAACACTTTTTTGCACAAAGCAAAACCCCAGCAATAAAGGCAGTGAGGTTTGTCTTCAGCAGCATGCTGGATGCTGTCAGGGAGCAGACTGAGCGGTTTGGCAGTGAGGAGTGTGGGCTGGGAGACACGGAAGAAGGATCAGATGACGTCCCCTCCAATAGCAGCCGCGTCTCATCAGAACCACAGAGCAGGGAAATGGAAATGCCAACCCTTCAAGGGCCTCTGCAAGCGTATGAATTTTGTGCCAACAGCTAACAAATCGGGCTGCCTGCCTGAGCAGCTGCTACTGCCCTCATCCTCCTTCCGGCTGGAAATGCAGGGACCCTAACACTTTGCGGGGGCTGCTCCGTGAGGAGCGGAGGTAGGAGACCCACACTCTATGTTATGAGTGTCAGAGCCGAGAGAGACCCTAGAGATGAGCTAGTCCACCCGTTTCTTTTTCTTTCTTTCTTCTTTTTTTACAAAAGAAACTTGGGTTCAACATAGAAAAGGGACAGAAAGGCTATGATATATTAGGGGCAGAGCTCAGGGCAGAACTCGGGTCTCTTGGCTCGCTGCCCAGGGCTCATCTTACAGCCTCTGTATAAATAAAACTTGACTTTTTTGCCCCTGCCTTCCCCTAATACATTATTTGTTGGGGGTGGGTAGAGGACAACCTCAACTATCAGACAAAAAAATACTCATGATATGTCAGAGAACCAAGGAGGAAAAAGGACTCTTGCTTGGCAAAGAAATAAATACATGTATCCACATTTGTGTCAGCTTTAGAGTAGCGATATTTATCTCTGGAAAAAAAAAAATCCCCTAAGAGACACTTGGAAAAACGATTGAAAATTTGATACGTAGAATGCCTTTCGGCTGCCTCCCTCTTGATGCTCACAGGTGTCACCAAGTTAAAATGTTGCCAACAAAAAAATCGTAAGGAGACTTTTTCTTTTTTTTTAATGTGGATTTTTTTTATTCTTATGTTAATCCCCATACATTACATCATTAGTTTTAGATGAAGTGTTCCATGATTCATTGTTTGTGCATAACACCCAGTGCTCCATGCAGAATGTGCCCTCCTCAATACCCACCACCAGGCTAACCCATCCTCCCACCCCCCTCCCCTCTAGAACCCTGTTTGTTTTTCAGAGTCCATCGTCTCTCATGGTTCGTCTACCCCTCCGATTTCCCCCGCTTCATTCTTCCCCTCCTGCTACCTTCTTCTTCTTTTTTTTTTCTTAACATATATTACATTATTTGTTTCAGAGGTACAGATCTGAGATTCAACAGTCTTGCACAATTCACAGCACTTACCAGAGCACATACCCTCCCCAGTGTCTATCACCCAGTCACCCCATCCCTCCCATCCCACCCCCCACTCCAACAACACTCAGTTTCCTGTGATTAAGAATTCCTCATATCAGTGAGATCATATGATACATGTCTTTCTCTGTTTGACATATTTCACTCAACATAATACCCTCCAGTTCCATCCACGTCGTTGCAAATGGCAAGATCTCATTCCTTTTGATGGCTGCATAATATTCCATTGTATATATATACCACACCTTCTTTATCCATTCATCTGTCGATGGACATCTTGGCTCTTTCCACAGTTTGGCTATTGTGGACATTGCTGCTATAAACATCGGGGTGCACATAGCCCTTCGGATCCCTACTTTTGTATCTTTGGGGTAAATACCCAGTAGTGCAATTGCTGGATCATATGGTAGCTCTATTTTCAACTTTTTGAGGAACTTCCATACAGTTTTCCAGAGTGGCTGCACCAGCTTGCATTCCCACCAACAGTGTAGGAGGGTTCCGTAAGGGGACTTTCTATGGAGTGGGAGCTCTTAACCAGGCAGCTTAAAAGTTTCTGAGATTGGACCGCAGGTTTGCCAACGGATACTCCCCTGGTTGATGACCATGCTGGTCGTGAGGGCAGAATAACGGTGCTGCGACTTGCACACTTGCACCCGGCTCGCGAGAATTGACAGACTAAGCTTCCAGAGGCTGTTAGAAGCATGGCTGTGCCGCGGAGTCGGATGGGGCTTACCGTTCTGTGTGCTGCTTTTGTCTCTGCAGGGCACGTGCACATCACAGACTTCAACGTCGCCGCGATGCTGCCCAGGGAGACGCGGCTCACCACGGCGGCGGGCACCAAGCCTTACATGGGTACGGGCTCCGTGAGCGGCGGTGCTAAGAGCAAGGCTTGGCCATTTTGTCCCCGTAGACATTTATTCCGGGTCCAGTCATCTGGAGACACTTGCAGCTAGGAATGCCAAGTTCCCCTGTGACTTTACCTGGGGAGCGTCTGAGTTCACGGGTCTGAGGTGAGCCTCAGGAGGCTCCATTTAGCAAGCGCCCAATCTGATCTTGATTCAGGTCAAAGCACGCTTCGAAACACTGTTTAACGAGTTATTCGGGACAGCTTCTACCCACTTCCTAACAAAGAATAGTGGTTGATTGAATAAATATCTGCGAATTGCCTCTGGGGGCGTATCCACGGCAGGTGATCCTGTAAGTGAGCAAAATACACAAGGTCTCCGGCTCGTGGAGCTTACCTTCTAGTGAGAGAAGTTTTTAAAAATAGAATCAGGGGCACCTGGGTGGCTCAGTCAGTTGGTTTCGGCTCAGGGCATGATCTCGGGGTCATGAGATCAAGCCCAGCATCGAGCTCTGTGCTCAGCAGTGGAGTCTGCTTGGTCTCTCCCTCTCTGCCCCTCCCACTCACAAGCTCTCTCTCTCTTTCCTAAATAAATAAATACATAAATAAATAAATAAAATCTTCTTAAAAATAAAAAATAGAATCAAATAGAAGTACAGTAATAAGTCGGATGGTGATAAGTGACATAAGAACTACTATACCCATCATTTACATAACCCCGCATTACACACATAGGACTGTCAAGTTCACACAGCGCCTCCCAGATGTCATTTTACTTTTAGTTTTAGCACCATGACAAACCCATGAGTTCTCCTTTTTAAAGACGGGGAACTGGATTTTGCCTGAAGATTCAAAATACACCCCGAGGGTGACTAAAAGGATAAGGTTAGGTACCAAAACTGTCAATAAGGTCTCACATTTAATTATGTTAACACTCACAAATTACTACAAATTCTTAAGTGCTCTTGTTGGAGCATCTCTGTGTAGACGCCATTGTGGCAGAACTAGCCTTGTCTCCCACCCATCCCCAGAAACGTAAAGAAACAACTGCTATCCTTTCCCCAAAGGGATTCAGGAAGAGGGGCTTTTCCGCTCTCCCCACGTAGGACAGGTGAGTCAGATCTCAAGAGAATGATCTGGAAAGTCTGTGGGTAACTGTGAGGTGAGTGACTTGGATTTCCATGCTTGGTCCATGTCTGGTTCCTCACCGTATATGCTGACTGGTCCTGGTACCCACAGAGCCCGATCTGTCCATGGAGTTAAGTCTTTCTGGGGACCATAACATTAGGAGACAGACAGCAGTGTTTGAGCGTGTGTCTGGATTAGCCAGAGGGTGGAATCCAGCTTGTGAGGGACCCTGCCAGTAGCCTGGAAGGAGGGCGGTTCCTATTGGCGTGGCTTACTAGAAACACCACCAATTCCAATAGAGCTCAACTATATCAGGATCTTGGAGGTGCCCCCCAAGCACAGGGTGCTTGAAAAGCTCTTCTGGTAATTCTGCCATGCAGCCAGGGTTGAGAAACTCTGCTATAGACGAGGAGTGACGTCAGCTATTAGAAGCAACTAAAGAGAGATCACCCCAGAGCATTTGTGTTAGGATCCCTCTGCCTCCACTCTCCCTCTTCCATGTCCTAAAACAAATGGTACTTTCTAGGAAAAGGGAGAAGGGATATGACAGCCAGGTTGGCAATCTTCACACCAAGGGGGCTGAATCTAGCCCCGTGGTATGAGAGAGCTCTGAATCAGACTTGAGATTAGTCTTTAAATTCATAGGACTGAATTTTAAAGTTTCTGAAGTAGATGTTTTAATGGGCAAAAAGGATTAAAATGTTTTAAGCAAGAGACTATGAACTATCATTAAGGGAGCCCCCTACCCAACACAAATGGGAAGCTAGACACTGCATAGTTGTTGCAGATGATGGAAGAAAAAAACCTATTTCTGCTTCTACCCTAATTAATTGCGATGCTTAAAGCCGATAATTCACTGGTTAAGCCAGTGGAATTAGGGGGTGGAGTGAATTGTACTGACTAAATATGTTCAGAGTCATTTATGAGCAAAATATTTGACCTTGAAATCAAGGGTAAGAGCAAAGCCACTTTTAATATGTCATTCCCTTCCTCATATAACTAGAGAGAGGAAAAGAAAACCCCTACATACAGGGCCACCTCACTTCCCAAGAGAAGAAATCCTCTGGGGAAAAAAATAAGTCTTATTTTAGATGATATTTGAACAACTACTAATTTCCCGGCTTCCTATTACCAGCGCGGGGAATAAATCTCCTTTGTCACTTCTAAAATAATGGGCACATATAATTCAGCCTATTTTCTGCCTAAAACTCACAGTTCTCAGATGATAAAAGGGAATACCTGAGCCCGCTGGTCTGATGAATATATTCTGCAGGTTTCCTGGGTTTCCATATTAAGGGCTATTTTCTTGGAGCCAAATCAGAATGTGCATCTGGGTTTTCTAGGCCTGGTTTCCATGGTGAGAGGAGTAAAGGGAGGCTACCCTTCTTTTCTCTCCCCAGTGATTTTAAGTACAATATCCGTATAATTTAATTCTCCTCATATATGGCATTTCGGGCCCTTTCACAACACGGAGCTAGGAAATTGGAGTGCATTCAAGGTTCTCTCTGCTTTTCCAACTTCACCCTTATAATTAACAATTACCAATATTTATTGAAAGCTTTCTATGGGCCAGACGCTGTGTTAAATGTTTAACGTTCATTTATTCATTTATTTTTTTCTCAGCGACTCTATGAAGCAGACTGTAATTACCACCATTTTACAATGAGAAGATAAGAAGCTAAGTGATTTGCCCAAGATCACATGGCTAATAATTGAAAAAGCTTAGATTTAAAGTAAGCTCTGACTACAGAAAGTCAGGCTTCTTCCCGAAAGAGAGTTAAAGGAGAAATTTATTAGAAATTATTTGTGGTCCGTAAAAGGTTGTAAATCCATTTAGGTAAACCAAACTATTAGAAATGTTTCTTGTTTCAGTATAAATGAGTATCTGTCATCCCTTAACTCGGAATCCAAAGGTTGCCTTTGCCTTTGATTTTTTGGTAAGAGTCTTTCTAAGAGGTGTCCTAGGTAGAAATCTGCTGCTTCTTTTTTAAAAATTATGATCCAGGGTGCCTGGGTGGCTCAGTCGTTAAGCATCTGCCTTCGGCTCAGGTCATGATTCCAGGGTCCTGGGATCGAGCCCCACATTGGGCTCCCTGCTCAGCGAGAGGCCTGCTTCTCCCTCTCCCACTCCCCCTGCTTGTGTTCCTGCTCTCGCTGTCTCTCTCTCTGTCAAATAAATAAATAACATCTTTAATAAAAAAAAAATTATGATCCAAATTTGGTAATATCTAGGTAACAGACATTCACCAGCACCCATGCCCATTTTTTAGCGCTCCTGTGGGATACGAATTAGCAGTTACAGAAAGAAAAAAATATTCTTTTTTTAAAGATTTTATTTATTTATTTCAGAGAGCACCTGTGCAGTGCACCTGCAGGTGCGTGAGTGGGGGGAGGGGGGGGAGGTGGGGGAGGGAGGGGGAGGAACAGTCCCAAGTCGACTCCCCGCTGAGTGCGGAGCCTGACACAGGGCTCGATCTCAGGACCCTGAGAACGTGACCTGAGCCGAAACCAAGAGTTGATACTTAACTGAGGGAGCCACCCAGGTGCCCCAAAAAGAAAAAAATATTCTAAGAAGAAAGAAAGAAAACAAGGACAAAATACTGACGATGATAGGAATATATGACATCTACTAAGATGAGGTGCTGAGCACGTTCGTTATACAGCGGTTTCTCCCGGTTCTGAACCCACCTTCCTTTCAGCTCCCTACTCCCTCCCCTCCTTCCTCGCCCTCCCTCCTACCTCTGTGTGAATATAATCCAGATCACTTAGAGCTTAACCAATGAAAACATTCTTCTCTTCCCAATTAAAAACAAAGCAAATTCACTATGGAAAACGTGTAAAATGCTGATAAGCAAAAAGAAGTTAAATTAATTTCTCCCCTTGTAGATATTTATGGTTTCCTTCCAGACTTTTTTTTTTCCTGTGCACACACAAACGCACATTTTTTTTTAAAGTTGGATCATCCTGAATTTTTGTAACCTAAATTTTTTTTTTTAAAGATTTTTTTTTTTATTTATTTACGACAGAGAGAGACAGAGAGAGAGAGGGAACACAAGCAGGGGGAGAGGGAGAGGGAGAAGCAGGCTTCCCGCTGAGCAGGGAGCCTGATGCGGGGCTCGATCCTAGGACCCTGGGACCACGACCTGAGCCGAAGGCAGACGCTTAACGACTGAGCCACCCAGGCGCCCCTGTAACCTAAATTTTCACTTTATAATATAATAACAATAGACATCATACAATGAGCAGTTATCCTGGCCTGAACACTTTGCTAAGCTTTTAGCATTTATTAGGCCATGAAATTCTCAAAGCAACCCTGTGAAAGAAGCTCATAATCACACAGCGAGTAACTGGTGGAGCACAAAGTTAAACCCACATCTGAAAACATCTCGAGCCATGGCACTCGTGGTGATGATGATGGTGATGATGATGAAGAAACAATGGCCAACGCTGAGCTCTTCCTAAGTGCCAAGCACTGTTCTCAGTGCATGTATGACATCGTTGAAACCAAAACTTCCATGAGGCCAACACTATTGTTATTCCCCCTTGAAATGCACAAATTGAGAAATGAAGCACTTTGCCCCCTGTGGAGGAAGGGATTCCGCTGTGAGGGTCAGAGCCCGAACGCTCTGCTATGCTGGGCGACCTCTCTTGTCTCCAGGCTCCAGGTGTAACCTGCCTCAGCCAGAATTGCCCCTCGTTTCTCTCTGACTCCAGAGCCTGGGTCTTGGCAAATGATGCTCTGCTGCTTTTCCCATGCCCGTGTATAGAACTATCATTTTTAATGATCATGTGCTCCAGAATTAGAGGACTGCATCAAATTGAACCAATTCTTTATTGTTGAATGTTAGGTTGTTTCTCATTTTGAAACATAAATAAATTTGTAATGAAACTCCTGTTAGCAGAAATAGGTGCTGCAACTTGTCTATCTTTGTGATGAAGTCCCATTCAAAGAATTCCTGGTCAGTGGATATTTATGTGTTAATGCATTTTCCTCCTGAAGGTTCACATTGATTTCTGCTCATTTATTCCGAAAGTGTCTGAGAATATTCAGTTCCCTGCATTCTCAGCAGGGCTGCACAATGAATATCTTTAATCTTCCTGAAAAGATCATTTAAAATGGTCCCTCATGATACTAATACTGAAATTCTCTGACTTCTTTTGTAAACTGTGCATATTCTTTGCTCATTTTCTATTAGGGTGTTAATATTTTTATCCTATTTCTTATTGACTATATAAAAAATCCTGGGGCCTTATATATTCAGAATATTATAGTGTATCTGGAGCCTTATATATTCAGAATATATAGTGTATCATATGATTATAGTGAATCATTATAAATATGATTTCCTACCTTTTAGTTTGCTGTTGTTCTTATGACATTTTTATGTAATGAACTATTTTTTTAACATCATCACACCATTAGTCTTTTTTATAGCTTCTACCTTTTTTATTATTTATTTTTTTTAAGATTTATTTACTTATTTGAGAGAGGGAGAGAGAGTGAGCATGCAAGGAGGGGAGGGGCAGAAGGAGAAAGAGAGAGTTCCAAGCAGACTCCACACAGAGCGCGGAGCCTGAGGAGGGGTCCAATCCAATGACCCTGAGATCCTACCTTACCTGAGCTGAAACCAAAGTCAGTCCCTCAACCAAATGCACCACCCAGGCACCCTTATAATTTCTACCTTTGATACTATTCTTAGTAAGACCTTCTTATCTCCAGATTTTGGATATGGTTACCTAATGTTTTTAATACTGTTATAGTTTCGTATCTTTCCTTATTCCAGTTACATATAATCTTGACTGAAGATATGTCATAAGGATCTGACTTTATTTTTTGTTAGATCATTAAATAATTGTTTCAAGATGACATATCAAATAAGACCTTTTCTATGTTGATTTACAATATCTTCATCATAAACTAAATATCCTTATATACCAGCATCTACATGCTGTGGATCTTCAAATCTTATTACAGCTTTATAATATAATTTGATACATGAGATGCAAGTCTATGTCTTTATTCTTTTTCAGAAAACCTTTATTATTCACAGATTTTGGGGATAGATGAAATTTAGAATATTTTTTTGTAAATTTCATTAATTATTTCTATTGCATCACAATTATGGATTAGGTTTGAGGCCCTTTCTTTATTTCTTGACCAAGAATCTACTATCTTGGGGCATCTGGGTGACTCAGTCAGTTAAGCATCTGACTCTTGGTTTCATTTCAGGTCAGGATCTCAGGGTCATGAGATCGAGCCCCACATCAGGCTCCATGCTCAACAAGGATTCTACTTGTCCCTCTCCCTCTCCCTCTGCCTGTCCCCTCGCTCTCTAAAAATGAATAAAATCTTTAAAAAAAAATATTCTGTCTAGGTATTGTAAAACCTGAAAAACCAAGTGATGGAAATCCAAATAGCCAATAGACACATTAAAATGTGGTCAAGCTTATTAATAACCAGGAGAATGTCTATTTAAACCACAATGAAAGCTTACTAGATTGGCAGAATTCAAAAGGCAAATTAACACCAAGCGTAGGTAAGGAGGCTGAGCAAAGCAACTCTGATACCCTGCTGGTCACCGTGTTAATTGGTACTACCACTGGGGTAAATAGTTGGGCATTATCCAGAATGTGTGAAGACGCACATCGTATCCCCAACAGCTCCCCTTCCAGGAACATAACCTATAGATATGTGGACTTTTAGGAGCATTCATGACAGCATTGTTCACAATACTGTCAAATTGAAAACACCCAGATGTGAGGCATTCTCCTAGCACAATGGCCTGTTCCTCCCTCAGACTTCTCCGCTGTCTCTCTAAATGAGATGCCTGTCACCTGTCACCCAGGGTACTGGTAAAGGAAAGTGGAAATAAAGCCCATTTCCATCCAGTCTAGGGGGTACCGTGGGGTCAGGGCCATTATCTTCCAAACTGATGGGGAGCTGTGACTTAAAGATAGGAGGCAGTGATCGGGGCGCCTGGGTGGCTCAGTTAGTTAAGCGACTGCCTTCGGCTCAGGTCATGATCCTGGAGTCCCGGGATCGAGTCCCGCATCGGGCTCCCTGCTCGGCAGGGAGTCTGCTTCTCCCTCTGACCCTCCTCCCTCTCATGCTCTCTGTCTCTCATTCTCTCTGTCTCAAATAAATAAATAAAATCTTTAAAAAAAAAAAAGAATGCATTAAAAAAAAAAAGATAGGAGGCAGTGATGTGTGGGAGATGAAATCACTGGGGAATGAGGCTCTTATCTTCAGGGTCAGTCCTGGGCATCAGGATGTCAACATTCTACCTCGGATTGGATGGCGTCTGCAGGATTTTACTTGGGACTTGAGTACCCTAGCTAGGTCAAGACCATGTGCAGGCCTCACGTCATGCCAGTTTCTTTTGTCCAGAGCCAGCGCCTTAGTCCCAGAGGCGTGGGTCAACTGTGGATAGCTGTTGACAAGTAAAATGTGCATTCCTATGAATGTTTGCCTCTCCAGAACCGTGACTAGTTTTTGGAACACTCCCTAGGGGCCAAGCGTGGAGCTGAGATTCGTGCGTGCATTATCTCATTTAATGTCTCACCTCTCTAAAGATCTTCTTATTTTGACTTTGCTGATGCGGACTCTCAAGCTTCGGCAGCTGACTTGTTCAAGGTCAGAATGAGTGGTAAAGGCAGGTTCTGACCCCAGACGGTGTGGCTCCGGAGCCAATAACTGCCACCCTTGCTTGTTGACTTGACTCCTTGTCGTTTATTTAGTCAACACATTTCTGTTGAGTGGCCCTAAATGCCAGGTTCAATGGTAGATGCTAGAAGTGTAGTGGTGAGCACACCGCCCTTGCTTTGTGCTTTACCCCTCACGAGCTAGGTGTATTCTTGGAAGAGTTTGAAGAAGGTGCACAGGGCATCAAAGTGCTTAGAAAGGCACAACTAGGGGTCACCATTGCGGTCAAAACTGACTGTAGTTTTGCCTTCCCTTGGAGTCCTTTCAAATAACTGTGTTACAAGGTGTAAGTTTCTCCACCTGATGTGAAAGCTTCTATTTCGCAGAGTGCCCACTCCCTCCCTCTCTCTCCCTCACCACCAATAGTAGGCTGTGAATGCTGTCCTTGGGTCTTCTAGATGACTGAGATGGAGAGCCAATCCAATATACCTTGCACCAAATTCTAAGTGTTGTTTGCAGCAGGAATACACATTTCAGTCCTTTAGCACAAACCTTTCAAATCAAGGCAACAAATAACATCTTCCCAGCCTTCCTGATTTTAGGGTCCGCTGAACATTTGAGGCCTTGCGGGATCCAATTTTTAATAGTTACGGGATATAAATAAGAGGAGAATTTGCCCATCAAGGCCTGTGCATGCCTGTGTGTTGGCTGATGAATGAAGCCGCTGAGACGAGAAAACTAGCCATTTTTGCCTGTTGCAAGCAATCTAGCAAGGGCTGATAAACACCCACAGCAGTGTTTATTCCTTTTATTTACCCTGGTAATGTGCCTTAGGAGGAACACGTTGGGAGCAGAGATTTGTTAATGTCCCAGGCTGTAAAACGGACCAAACTTTTCTGTATTTTCAGCGCCTGAGATGTTCAACTCCAGAAGAGAAGCAGGCTATTCCTTTGCTGTGGACTGGTGGTCCCTCGGAGTGACAGCGTATGAACTCTTGAGAGGCCGGGTATGCTGGAATTGCGTTTCTCTTTGGTTACTCTTCCAGCAAGTTTCATTTTTAGAATGAAAGAATGGATTTTTTTTTTTTTTTCTAAAATCAAGCAGTTTGTTTGCAAGGTAAAAGCACTGTGCCATGTGATACTTGGGATTTGGGCACATATTCACTCTCCTACATATGGATCCAAGCATGTGAGTTAACATTAACTGTAGGTAAAATTAAATGAATAATATGAGTATTATAAACTCCCGGAGAGGGAAGATCAGGGCACCTCACTAAATATCTTGTGGAAATATATTTGTTTGTTTAAAGAAAAGCACTTTGCAGTCACAGTACAGGATTCTAACTTCGACATAGTTCCCCAATGTGAGTGTGAATTCTTAATACAACACCTTCATGCCCTGTCTTGTTGGATTCCTCTCTGTCATTTGGCTCCTGGGTTCTGAGTTTGGGGGGCAAATTAGAGTGGCTTCCTTTTAAAGAAGGCATTTCTTAAACTAAGAAAATGCCTAGGAAGAATTTTGCCCAGAAAATATTTTTCCCCCTCCCATACGGTTTTATCTCTGTGGTAGTTCTCTGTGATATGATGTATTAACATTGTCAGATTTATTTTTTTTTCTTTCTATTTTTGGGGTGGGGGGAGGTGAAGAAAGGGTACTAACAGATTATTGAATTTAAATCCATTTTGTAAAGTATTATCCTTGTGAGTTTTTCAAGGTATATCAAATTTTACATAATCTCTTCTATATTATTAGATTATAAATTCATTAAGGTGAAGCGTGTGCCTAATACAGTTCAGTATCATCCCCAGTATTTAACTTTAAATAGAAACATACCAAGTGTGTATTGAATGAATTGGGGGACAAGGCACTATATCAATTCTGCCACATTCTAGCAAAGAATCACCAAGTGGGCTGTAGGTAATTAGGTTTCAAAACCTAGCTAATCACATTTAATTACAACTATCAACACAACGAAACTACAGAGGACGGGCGCTAAACCATGATCTCCTCCACATTTACAAATTCTCATTTATAGACCAATATATGCCTCAAAGACAAACATGCTTGACATCTCTGTGGTTTCTGAACTTCACTGCAATCTTGATGAATGGTCCCCTTAGCTATTAATCTCCTTTGTCTGCATTGTAAAGGCAAGGTCCGTCTTTTCTAGCCTTGGGTTATCCTTAAGTGTCAGCTTCCAATAGGTACACGCATAGTTTTGCACTAATTGTATATCCTTGGCTGCAACTCTTTTGCTCTTGTACTCCTGAAATAAGACCATAAGCACAACACCTCATTTTCTCCCGTCTAATGTTTTACTTTTTCCACCTTATTCATTCTTTATATTCTTGCTCTTATTTTATATGCTGGGTAAGAATTGTTTGATATACCCTGTCACTGCATTCTGTAATTTCTTTATAGCATGCATTCTGTTGATTTAGGGGTGTGTGTATGTGTGTGTGCAGAGTCTATATAAATAGTTATGGTTTCTGACACTCTCCACCAGTGTGGAAATCATGTCTCTCTTATTCTTGTATCCCCAGTATCCAACAGAGGTGCTGGGACATCATGGGCATTCAGTAAACATTTGGCAAATGAATAAATATGCAGTTCTCATAGTTGATGGATTAACATGGATTTAAAGTTTTAGAACGAGATGGGGCGCCTGGGTGGCTCAGTTGGTTAAGCGACTGCCTTCAGCTCAGGTCATGATCCTGGAGTCCCGGGATCAAGTCCCGCATCGGGCTCCCTGCTCAGCAGGGAGTCTGCTCCTCCCTCTGGCCCTCCCGCCTCTCATGTGCTCTCCCTCTCATTCTCTCAAATAAATAAATAAAAATCTTTAAAAAAAAATTTAAAGTTTTAGAACGAGAAAGATAAGTTATTGTATAAAACAAAGGCAATTTGACTATTTTTAATAAGTTGACAGATCATGAAAAATATTAAGTTCAGTCACATGGCCTTCTAAAGTAAAAGGAAAAAGTACACTTAAATTAGTTGTCCGTGGCATTTATCAGTTAATTTATTCATTTATCAAATCCTTTTATGTTTTTAGTGAGGAACAGTATGTTTAGAAGCAGCAATGAAATGAAGAAGGAAATTAGAAGAAAGAAAAAAGCGTATGTCCATACATATATAACCCTGGAAGCTGAAGCGTGCCCAACCTGCTCCAACTCTTAAGGGTATAAACATGGAGTGAATCCCATGCAGTGACCCACGGTGCCTTTGGCTAGTAAACACTCCATAAGCGTTGATCATGGTGATAAGGTACCCAGCACTTCCTTTCTGAGACTAAGTTACACAGGTTATCTCCGCTCTATTGTTACTGAGACAGATCAATTATCTACAGTCCTTTATTCAGTCTTGTGGGAAAAAAATATGCAGGAGATATGTATGTTTAGACCTTGCATAAAAAAAATAAAGTTTGGCCAGTCTCCCTTTTAGGGAGTCAACTCCTAGCACTTGGTGGTTCCCCAACTAACTTGACATTAACATACCATGTGTAGAGTTAAGCCTTTCTTCACGTCACCTTTATTGATGACTCATCTTGCTGTTCACTACTCACATTTATATCCACCCTTCCTAGCCTGTGTTCACGAATAATACAAATCTCTCTCCTGCATTGTGTGTAATATGTGTTAGCTGCTCTTTGGAGAACTTTACATGTATTATGTCATTTAATTTTTCCAACAATCTCATGTGGTGGTTTATTTTACAGATAAAGGACAGGTGAAGGAACAAACACCAATCGAGTGCCTCAATTTAACACTCAAATCCTTTTTTGCCTCAAGATCTTAATCACATTACCTTTGCTTCCCCCAGGCTTTTCTTGAAATTCCATTAGTTAACAGTGTAATATTAGTTTCAGGTATAGAATTCAGTGATTCATCATTTACATGCAACACCCAGGACTCATCATGACAAGTGTCCTCCTTAATGCCCATCACCCATTTAGCCTGTCCCCCTGCCCACCTCTCCTCTGGTAACCATCACTTTGTTCTCTATAGTTAAGAACTTGTCTCTCAGTTTGCCTCTTCCCCCCACACCCTCATGTTCGTTTGTTTTGCTTCTTAAATTCCACACATGAGTGAAATCATATGGTATTTGTCTATCTCTGACTTATTTTGCTTAGCATAATACTCTTCTAGCTCCATCCACATCTTTGCAAATGGCAAGATTTCATTCCTTTTTGATGGCTGAGTAATATTCGTATATATGTGTGTGTGTGTGTGTGTATATATATATATATGAAGTGATATATATATATCATTTCTTCTTTATCCATTCATCAGTCAATGGACACTTGGGCAGTTTCCATAATTTAGCTATGTTGATAATGCTGCTATGAACATCAGGGTGCATGTATCCATTCGAATTAGTATTTTTGTATCCTTTGGGTAAATACCCAGTAATGCAATTGCAGGATTGTAGGTAATTCTATTTTTAGCTTTTTGGGGAACTTCCATAGTATTTTCCAGAGTGGCTGCACCAGTTTGCATTCCCACCAACAGTATAAGAGGGTTCCCCTTCTCTACATCCTCGCCAACACCCTGTTGTTTCCTGTGTTGTTAATTTTAGCCATTCTGACAGGTGTGAGGTGATATCTCATTGTGGTTTTGATTTGTATTTCCCTGATGATGAGTGATGGTGAGCATATTTTTCTGTGTCTATTAGCCATCTATAATTACATTACCTTTTAATACTAATTTACAACAGGAAGAATATTAAATTCTTCCATCTCTCCCAATTTATTCCATCAGTCCACAGTCATTTATTAAGTTCTTGAAAGGGCCAGGCACTTGATGAATGTACATATCCATATTAACTGTCCCATTCATTGTTGCTTAATCTAATATAAAATTGTGTTCATTCGACAAACATGTAATGAGCACCTAGTAGGTGCTAGGTCCAGTGGACACAAATATGAGTAGGGGATGATCTCTGGCCCTAAGTAGCTCACAGTTCACACAAAAGATAAAAACCCCTAAATCTAGTTTATGAAATAGAGAAATTAATATAGGTAAAGGCTGCTCTCTAGTGGACAGCTGTGAAAAATATAACAAAACCACTGTTTTCTTTTCCCCAAAGTTAAAACTATAAAAGAACTTGGTTCTCTCAGAGGTAAAAATACTGTACCTCATCATAAAGTTCTCCACCCCACTCCACAGAACTAGCAACTCATAGCATTTTGGACTGGAGTTAAAGTTTTCTGGGTAACATTCTATCCTGAACTTATTACCGATTCAAAAAGCACAAAGAGGTGGAGTAAAACTCTGGATCTCTTTATAATCAACATTTAAGTAACATTTTTTTTTTTAAGTTTCATTTACTGAGCACTTGTCCCATGTTCTATGTAAATACGTATGTAAGCTGCCTTACAAAACAGTCCCAGATTGGTATCTCAGAGGTGGATTTAGTGTACATTTAGAAATGTTTCATTTGGCCCAATGGACTTACTAAGTTTTTAAAAATTCTGAGATTTCACAGGAAACTAGAGATTTCTGGTGTCTTTTTTTTTTTTTTTTTTTTTTTAAATAGAAGATCTGGCAACAGTAGACCACATTTGCATATGAAAACAACAGTCAGCTGGAAGGGATCAGAAAATGATACTGAGATTTTACTGGTTGAAAATTCAGCTTGGGAACATGGGCAAAGGAAAATTTTTTCTTTACCCTCTAAAAATGAAGACTCTTCCTTTTTCTCGCCCTCAAGAGACCGTACCATATTCGCTCCAGCACCTCCAGCAAGGAAATTGCACACATGTTTGAGACAGCTATTGTGACTTACCCCTCTGCCTGGTCACAGGAAATGGTGTCACTACTTAAGAAGGTAAGAAGGATGACTGCATGACAAAAGGAAGTGGTAAAAAGAAGCATGCCCTCTGGTTTGGGGTGAGAAGTTAGTTTATAATATTGGCGGCAGCCACGATAATACACATTTCTAGAGTGGGCTTTGCACCTAACAGCTTGCAAACACGTGGCTCCATTAAGGCAAGACATGTGTCCTCTTGTTGAGCCATGTCAAACTCAGTGTATCCAAAATGGAGTTCCTGATCGCTATTTCCTGGACTTGCTGTGATGTTCCCTTTCTCAGTGAGTGGCCGCTCCATTCATCCAGTTATGGAAGCCAGAAACCAGAAGTCACTCATCATCCCCATATCCAATTCATGGCCAAGTAACCTGATTTTGTAAATATCTCTTGACTCTGTCACTTCTCTTTATCTCTACTGCCATCTCCCCAGTCCTATTACCATCAGGTCTTCCCTTATAACTGGTTTGTCCTGGACATTTTTACACACTCCATTCAGTTCTCCCCTCTGCCCCATACTGATCTGTTCAAAGCAAAATTTATTGTCTTCTCATCGTTCTCAGAATAAAGATCAAAATAATCTGTATGGTATAAAGGTTCTGACTACCACTCAAGCTTTATTTTGGACTTTTGTTCCCCTTTTGACTACACATAGACTTTTTTCTCTTCTTCTTTTCTTCTCCTTCCTCACCATCATTTATCTATCTCTTACCACAGGGCCTTTGCACACACTCTGCTTGGAACAGTACCCCCATCCCCAGCTCCTCCAGCTCCCTCCTTTAGATCAACACTACTCAGTGGGATTCACTTACTGGTTCAAGTCCATGCATTGTTCCCTACAGGTCCATGAGAAGTATAGAAATTGAGAGAAGCATTTAGAAACTGTTACAGCAATGTGATACTGCTGATGCCTCTAAGTACATGGTCAGTGGACTCATCTTACTGAACAGGGTATTAACTCAAATCACAAGTTGTACATGGTACATACTGATCTCACCGGGTAGGAAATAGAAAAAAATTGGCCCTTCTACATAGATAGTTTGAGAAGCACAGCTTTAGATCTCAGCTTAAATATCACTTCCTCAGGAAGCTTTCTTCTGTTGTAAGCTCACATAACACTATCTTTCCTTCATACTATTTTTTTTTAATTTGCACTTATGCATTATATGTGTGTGATTCTTGGGCTAATGATTACTGTCTTCTAAGGCCTATGAGGAGGGACCACATCAGGCTTCTTCACCATGCTACCTTGGCACCTAGCACAGAGCCTGACAGGTGGTAAAATCTGGTATTTGAAATAAACGAGGTCCATAGTGTCCATCAGATTTTCAGGGTGCCCATGTTCATGGAAAAGATTAGTGGCAATTGTAGCAGCAGCTCAGTAGTATGCACTGAATGATTATATGGAGGTAAGAATGAGGAGCCCCACAGGATGCACTTGGTTTTCTTTGAAGAGGGAAAATCGCACAGGTTGTGGCTGGTGAGGGACAAGAGCTTTGAGGGCCTAGGGTTCACACCTGTGCCTCCTGCCTTTGGGGTCAAGTTCCCTGTTTTGGAATAGGGATATTGATAATGTCAAAGATGAAGAAGGGAGGGGTCATTTTCCATAAGCAAATTGTCCTCAATTTCAAGATAGCCCTCCTCACCCCAAAATTACACTCCGATGATCCACAGCTATAGTCTCCAGGAGTGTTCTCAAGCAGAACTGACATTTCCCATTTGACCAACAGGACTGATGTGGAGCAGTTACGGGGGGGGGGGGGGGGGAATCTTTAATCACACTTAGCAAAACCCCAAACTGTAACAGTAATCTTGGTTACATCTTATCTGTGTCACATCCAATATATTTTGATTAATTGTATGAACAGCTAAAACTTTTAGTAGGAAATTAATTTCATTTGTAAAAACGCATGAGCATTCACCACCTAATAAGGACAGACCTTCTCTTAGGTACTTTATATACATGGCCTCATTTATTCCTAGCTACAACCATACGAAATAGGCTATTATCCCCTTTTTATAGAGGGCAAACTAAGGTTTAGAGGACAAACTTGCCCACAGTTAATAAAGTAAGGGAGTCGGGAATCAAAGGTATGTTTGACTCAATAGGACAATCTATTTTCACTCACCACACTGCAAAAACCTACTTACAGCTCATTCTATCCGTGCATTATCACATTATTTATGTATGGATTATCTTTATTATTTGATAGGATTAGGGAAGGGGAACTCTACCTTGTTTTCTTCAGACCCACACCTGAAAACTTTTAGAGGGAATCTGTATGATTTTTTTTGCCCCACGTTGACCTTGATTATGATCTTGATGTTTGTATTCCATTGGCAGCTACTTGAGCCTAATCCAGACCAACGATTTTCTCACTTGTCTGATGTTCAGAACTTCCCATATATGAATGACATGAACTGGGATGCAGTTTTGCAGAAGAGGCTCATTCCAGGCTTTATTCCTAACGTGAGTCAATCCTAAAAAACCCATAGTAACTCTCATTCAGTTGCAAACACGGTCTCATTAGATAACCCCACCAGTGTTGTAAGACAGCCCAATCCCTGTCTCACAGATGAGACAATGGAGGCACACACCGGGTAAATGGGCCACCAAAGGTCACGTGGCTAGCAAGTGGCCAAGTGGGATTTTCGTCCAGGTCTATCAGCATCTGGAGTTCTAGCTCCTAATCACTTTTTGTGGTATGCTTCTACTGGAAGGAAGCCCTGGTCCTCCAAATAGTCATTCCCCGGAATCTGCTCATTGAGGAACAGTGTTTTCTCAGATTTCAAAGATGTAGAAATCTGTTTCCAGGAGTTCTGTGAGTCACAGCATTGAAAATATTGGGTTTTTTTTTTACCACTCACCCCTCTTCCTTTAGTGGTTCACTGCCACAGAGCTACATTCATAAGGACTAAACAGCCAAAGGGAAATCATTCCCACTGGGTGAATACCTGGCTAGGGGACATCTGTGGCCTCCTGCAGACCGCTGGTAAAAGCTGGAGTCCAGAAGCTTCGGCCAAGGGACCCAAGGGAGGCCTCTAGCTTCCCTCTGCCAGTCTGAGTCTACACATTCAGTATCAGATAGACGGGCAGAAAAATGAACTCCTAAAGGGTACAATTGAGTCAGTTCATAGTTTTCTGTGGTTCAGCCCAAGGAAGGCGCATTCCGAGGGCTTGTGGGGTGTGATCCGTCCTGTGCAAACAGAGGGAGCCGCACTGGTGGGTGGGTTGGTGAAAGAGCACAGTAGGAGACATGAGTAGGCAGTGTGGTGGAATTCTGTTGGGGAGTTGCTCTCTTATGGATCACCAAGAAGGTAGGTGTAGGTCTTACCTGGCCGTGTTGCAGAGTCCTGTAGGGGCAGCATGTACCTTGGCTGATGGATGCATGACACTGTGGAGATCTACACACACCTCCTGTTGCGTCCACTCTTCCTCCTATGCACACACCACAGCCATTAGCCAGCCACCCTGCCTCAGGAGAGGCTCTATGTATGAGTCTCTGACTTTACCGTCCATCCGAATCATCTGGGAAGCTTGTTAAAAATGTAGTTTCCTCAGCCTCTGTTCAGAATCACTGACTCTGGAGGTCTGGCCGGGGAACTGGGCAGCTGGGCCAACAACTCAGGTGACTGGGATCTACATATATAATCGTCACAACACACTTTGAGAAACAGAATTCACAAGTTCAAACTTTAGAAAAACAACTGGAGTTTGATTTCCTTTCTCACTCACTGAGGGCTCGTGGGGAGTTTAGAAAACAAACAAAATATAAAATCGAGAGTATGAAAAACAATGCCGGCCATAAATTATCTAAAACAGAGTAGGAATCGCAGCTGCTTATTCTTGAACAGCTCCATCAAAACTAGGTGCTATTCCTGCTGGCGTATTTGTAGAATGACCCAGAATCAAAGGACTGAGCCAACTGGTCTTTCTTGCAGAAAGGCAGGCTGAATTGTGACCCCACCTTCGAACTCGAAGAAATGATTCTGGAGTCCAAACCTCTTCACAAGAAAAAGAAACGTCTGGCAAAGAAGGAGAAAGAGAGGAGGAAATGTGATTCCTCCCAGGTAAGCAGGTGCCCACCAGACCCAGGGTCACGGGACTCTTCCTGACACCCTTGGTTCGAGAGCTTCTGGTGGGAGGGCTGCTTAGCAACCCATGTTGCTGTTTTGTGAAGGCACAGAGTCACTGAACACCCAGGCTTCTGAAATGGCAGGCCTGGGCAGCGCTGGGGTTCCTAGCAGAGCAGGAACATTTCATGGGGGACTCTGGCTCTGCCATGAACTTCATTCAGTTATTGCCCTCTTCAAGCTCTCATTTCAAATCTTACAGTTTCCTGGAAGACACTCCAATTGGTAGCTCTGCAAACAAATAAACATTCTCAATGTCCTTCATGTCTCTAGTCCTCCAGGGACACTATATACTTTCACAGTCAATTTATCCAAGTCCACATGCTGTTGTTCATAGAACGGGCTTCGGGCCTGCTGCCCGTCCTCAAGTATTTTCTACAGCCTTCCAAGGGAGGCTTTGCCGTGGCACAAACCCATCGTGCCTATTGCTTCTCACTTCAACCACCTTTCTCCTAATGATCTGTCCTTGGCATCGTAACCAGCTGGCTTCTCCAGGCTTGCTCCCTGCTGTGCACCTGTAGAACTTGCCCATGCAGGCTCTTCCATGGACAGCCTCCAAATGTAGCCAAGCCTGAGAGATCATCCTTATTATAAGTATTCTAAAGTTTCAATGATGACAGCAGTTTGTGAATAACTTTTCACCGTGCCTACCACGCTCTACCTGGTCCATCTCCCTTCCCCAGCCGCCCTTGTACTTGATCATTCTTGCCCTCGCTCAAGACCCTCCAACTACACGACCTTATATGTATCTGACCCTCACTAACTACAGGCTTCGTCCTTCCCTAGGACCTTCGCTCTTCCCTTTTCCTTCAATATTCTACTCTTAGATCTTGACATAGGGGGTTTCCTATTGTCCTTTATACACTAAACACCATTTGCTGAACACAAGGTCTCAGCTACTGCACTCTTTCTCAGCCCCAATTTTTAATTCCTTTGTGACATTAATATAATTTACAAATATTATGTGTTTATTTGTGTTTCTTTTTCTATCCCACTCAAATGAAGGTTCCTTGTGGGGGAAGCCCAGGTCATACCCACCAGTGTCTTCATGGTACCCCAACAGTGCCTTCATATAGTATAGGGCTCAATAAACAAGAGGTTCAGTATACTGGAAGGAAAGGAAATTTTTTAACTGGACAGTGAAAATTGGGCATCACTCTTCTTAGAGTTACAAGGTCATGTTGCCCCACTGGACATCTTCCTGGGGTCCCTCTTGTCCTAGTTCTTCCCCAACGCCCAGCCCCAGGAAGCCTCCCTCCTGATGCGAAAGGTGACGAGCCACTTACCCACAGTACAGACCCTAGCATTTTCGAAGACCACCCAAACGAGGGACGCTGCTTCCCCTTTCTTCTGGGTCTCATATCGACGTCAGAATCCTTTACCAAGAAGTGACTTTGCCCATGATAAAAACAGGCCCTTCCGTCTCTACTCAGGGAAGTGTACAACTGCTTGATCTTTTCTTTTGTTTTTAAAATTTTATTGAGGTGAAATGCATGTAACATGAAATTTCCCATTTTAACCATTTTTAAGTGTACAATTCAGTGGCATGAAGTACGTTCACGCTGCTGTACAGCCACCACCACTCTTTAGTTCCAAAACTTTTTGTTACCCCAAACCCCATTTGTCTTTTCCTTAATTTCTTTCAGCAATGTTCTGCAGCTTTTGCGAGTACAAATTTTTCGCCTCCTTGGTTAAACTTATTCTAAAGTATTTTATTCTTCTGGATACTATGGAAATGGAATCGTTAATTTCCTTCTTGGATTGTTAATTCCTGGTGTACAGAAAAACAACCAATTTTTCTTTTTCTTTTTTTTTTTTTTTTAAGATTTTATTTATTTATTTGACAGAGAGAGACACAGCGAGAGAGGGAACACAAGCAGGGGGAGTGGGAGAGGGAGAAGCAGGCTTCCCGCAGAGCAGGGAGCCCGATGCGGGACTCGATCCCAGGACCCTGGGATCATGACCTGAGCTGAAGGCAGTCGCTTAACCAACTGAGCCACCCAGGCGCCCCGCAACCAATTTTTCTTTGTTGATTCTGTGTGCTGCAACTTTGCTGAGCTCATTTTGTAGCCCTACAGCTTCCTTGTGGATTCCGTGGGATTTTCTCTCTATGAGACCATGTCATCTGCAAATAAGGATAGTTTTACTCTTCTTTACAGTTTGGACGCCTTTAATTCTTTTCTTTCCCTGATTGCTCTGGCTAGAAATTCCAGTACATTGTTGAATAGCAATGGCAAAAGCAGGCATCTTTGCCTTTTTTTTTTTGCTCTTAGGGGTAAGTACCTTTTACCATTGAGTGTTGTGTTAGCTGTATGTTTTTTTGTAAAAGCCCTTTATCTTGTTGAAGAAGTATTCTTCTATTCCTAGGTTTTTTTAGTGTTTTCATCATGAAGGGTCTTGAATTTTGTCAAATGCCTTTTTCTGGGTCAAATGAGATAATCTTGCACATTTTTCTTGTCTTAGTTCTATTAATGCAATGTGTTATTTTGGCTGGTTTTCTTATGGTGAACCATTCTCACACTCCTGGGATAAATCCTACTCGCTCATTATGTATAATCTTTTAATATAGTGTTGGACTTGGTTTGCTGGAACATTGTTGAAGATTCTTTCATCTATATTCGTAATGAAAATTGGTAATTTTCTTCTCTTTTGATGTCTTTAGCTGTTTTGGTATTGGGGTAAAGCTGGGCTCATAGAACGAGTTAGAAAGTGTTCCCTCCTCGTCTTTTTTTTTTTTTTTCAGACGAGTTTGAGAAAGATTGGTATTATTTCTTCTTTAAACGTTTGGTAGAATTCACTGCTCAAGTCATCTGGTCCTGGACTTTTCTTTGTTGGAAAGTTTCTTATTACAGATCTTTACTTGTAGATTACTCTTTATTTGTTATAGGTCTGTTGAGATTTTATATTTCTTCTAAAGTTTTTGTAGTAATTTGTGTTTTTCTAGAAATTTGTCCATTTCATCTAGATGTTATTTGTTGATGTACAGTTGTTCACCCTCGTTTTTTTTTATTTCTGTAAGGTAAGGTTGGAAGTCATGTGTTCCCACTTTCATTTATGATTTTAGTTATTTGCATCTTTTCTCTTTTTTTCTTTATGTATGGCTAAACATTTGTCAGTCTTGTTCATCTTTTCAAAGAACCAGTGATGATGTTTGTTGTTCTTCTATTCTCTATTTCATTTGTCTCTGCTCTCATCTTTATTATTTCCTTCCTTCCGCTAGCTTTGGGTTTAGCCTGCTTTTCTTTTTCTAATTCATCAAGGTATGAAGTTAGGTTATTGATTTGGGATATTTCTTCTTTTCTAAGGTAGACATTTACAGCTATTAAATCCCCTCTGATTACTGCCTTTCACTGCATCCCCTAAGTCTTAGTATTTTGGGTATTTCTGTTTATTTATCTTGAAGTTTTTTCTAACTCTTGTTGTGATTTTTTTGACACAATGGCTATTTAAGAATGCGTTGTTTAATTTCCACATATTTGTGAATTTTCTGGCTTTCTTCTATTGTTGATTTCTAGCTTCATTTTTTTGTGGTCAGAGAAGATAATTTGTATGATTTTAATCTTTTAAAATGTATTGAGACTGTTTTGTACCCTAACATATGGTTTCCTTCCATGGTTTCTTTACCTTTATGAGCATATTTAAGATAGTTGTTTTGAAGTCTCTATTTGGGGGTGCCTGGGTGGCTCAGTCAGTTAAGCATCCAACTCTTGGTTTCAGCTCAGGTCATGATCTTGGGGTTGTGAGATCAAGCCCTGTGTTGGGCGGAGTCTGCTGGAGATTCTCTTTCCCTCTCCGTCTGCCCCTCCTGCTCATGCTGCTCTCTCTCTCAAGTATATAAATAAATCTTTAAAAAAATAAAGTCTCTGTTTAGTAAAGCCAATGTTTGGGCATCCTCAGGGATAATTTCTGTTCCTTTGAATGGGCCTTGTGATTTTATTGTTGAGAACCTGACATTTGAGTATTATAATAAAGTACCTCTAGAAATCAGAATCTCTCCTTTTGTAGGGTTTGCTCTTTTTTGATTGTTGAAGGCAGTACTTGTCCTTTATAAAGTAACTTTTATAAACTACTTTTGCAAACACCGTATTCCTTGTCATGTGTCATCCCTGAAGTTCCTGTTATGTTAGATTGTGTTTAGCTAATATTTTGACAGAGGTTTCCTTGAACACCAGGAGCATTTTTTAAGTTGCATTTTTTCTTGATTTAGTGTTTCCTTGGTTGTTAAAGAAAACCTTTGATTGCTTTCCAGAATTCTGACAAAGTTAGCTCTGACAGTTTCTCCTTGTTTTTTGTTTCTGTTGTTGGGAGCTTGGAGCTGCCTATTCTAATATTCTGTTCTAGTTCCTTCTAATCTGGTACCCTAAGTTTAAAAATAAAAATTATTTTGCTTCACAGTAAAGGTTAGTATTCTCCCAAAGAAGCATCAGAAAGATCGTAAATCTCAAAATAGCACTCTATCTACTCTTTGAAAACATCAAGGTTTTAAAAATGTATCATATGATCTCACTGATATGAGGAATTTGAGAAACAAGACAGAGGATCATAGGGGAAGGGAGGGAAAAATGAAACAAGATGAAACCGGAGGGGGAGACAAACCATAAGAGACTCTTAATCTCAGGAAACAAACAGGGTTGCTGGAGTGGAGGGGGGTGGGAGGGATGGGGTGGCTGGGTGATGGACACTGGGGAGGGTATGTGCTATGGTGAGTGCTGTGAATTGTGTAAGACTGATGAATCACAGACCTGTACCCCTGAAACAAATGATACATTGTTAATAAAAAAAAATGTGAGGATCAATCTTAGCAGCTCATTACAGTATTACCATTATAAAGTGCCTGCTGTGTCAGGAAATGTCTCTGACTTTCTAGTCATTGCTGCCCTTAGAGGTACAAAGTGCTCTGGGAATTACTCATTAGTCCTGAGTGAGGGTCAAGACAG